ACCCGCCCCCTCCGTTGCCCCCGGCAACAGGCCACGCCCCTTCCCCTCAAAGGGGCGGGGCGCAAAGGGGGCGGGGCGCAAAGGGGGCAGGCCGCTCCGCTTGCCGCCTCTACGCCCCGCCCCTTCGCGGATGCCGCGCGGCGATTGGCGGGAGCGCACGTCGCTCTCAGGGCACCACCCGCTCACGGAAGTGGGGGGAGCCCCGCCTGGAGGCGGGGGAAGGGGGCGTGGCCTGACTTAAAGGGGCCGCGCCCTTAAAGGAGCGGAAGCGGCGCTCGCTCCGTGGGAGCGTCACGCGGCTGGGCGCTGACGTCATCCAGCCGCGATGTGACGTCAGTTTGTAACACGGAAGTGGTCACGGGGGCATGGCRGGCTCATGCAGGGGGATGGGAAAAGTGGAGCTTCCCTTTTGGGGAGAAAAAGGGGAAAACAAAGTCGGGATTTGGAGGSGAATGGGAAAAGCCGGTCTGGATTTCGAGGGGGAAACAGGAAAAGGGAGTCCCAAATTTTGGGGAGAACCTGGGAAATTGGAGCGGGATTTGGCCGGTCCCACTCACGGGGCCACCGGTGTCACTGGAGCCAGCAGGGACGTGTCCGGAGACGGTCCCGGATTGGGATGGGAGACCAGGATCGGGATGGGAGACCCCGATCGGGGACCTGGATCAGGATGGGGGACCGGGATCGGGAACCCAGATCGGGACCTGGATGGGGGATGCAGGACCTGGATCGGGACCCAGATCGGGATGTGTGACCTGGATTGGGATAGGTGACCGGGATCGGGACCTGTTTTGGGAGGGGGACCCGGATCTGGAGCAGGACCCAGATTGGGAGGGGGGGGATACGGATTTGGACTTGGATTGGGATGTGGGACCTGGATCGGGGTGGGGGACATGGAGAGGGACCCACATCGGGAAGGGAGATCTGGATCTGGAAAGGGACCTGGATTAGGAGTGGGATGTGGATCTGGAAGTGGATCTGGATTGGGACCTGGCCCCACACCGGGACGTGGATTGGGGTGTGGGATGCGGATCCGGGCACGGATCGGGATCAAGATGCGTTCCCAGATGGGGATGTGAGTTGGGACACAGATCCAGACCCGGATGAGAATCTGGACCTGGATCCGGGTGGGATTGGGATGGAAGACATGGATCCAAATCGAGACCTGGATCCGGGATGCAAATCCAGACTGGGACCTGGATCTGGGTGGACAGAGGGGTCAGGGTGCAGACTGGGGACTTGGATCCAGATTGGAGCATGGATTAGGATGTGGAGCAGGAATAAGGGATGTAGATCCAGAGGCAGACACAAATTGGGACGCAGATGTGGATCAGGACATGAACCAGGACATGGAATGGAATGGGCAACGAGGATCGGAATTTGGGATCTGGATGGGGCAGTCAAACGGGGAGGCGAATCCGGATTGCGACATCAGGATGCAGATCCGGATCCAAGCGTGCATTGGGACAAGAATCCAGGTCAGGTGTCCGGATCAGGTATCCGCACCGGGACACAGTTCGGGATGCTGCTCCGGATCAGGTATCTGGATTGGGACACGGGTCCAGATTGGGAAGCAGCTTGGGATGCGGCTCCAGGTCGGGATGCGGCTCCAGGTCGGGATGCGGCTCCGGGACGCTCTGTTCCCGCATCCGGCTCTGGAGCACGAGCGGTGCTGCTCCAGGATCCCGGAGCGTTGTCGCGGCTTCCCCGGCTCCCGGCTCCCACGAAGTCAAACTCTCCGAGCGCATCCTCGGAATCGGCATCATCGGCCTCATCCTCGTCCTCGCCGGGCTGCACGGGAAGAGCACTGGGAATTGGGGCTGGAAAGCGGGAATTGGGGCCGGAATGTGAGAAATGCGGCTGGAGCGGCGGCAAACAGAGCCAGAAGGTGGGAATTGTGTCTGGAGTGTCAAGAATTGTGTCCGGAGCGCCGGGAAGTGCATCCGGAGTGCTGGGAAGTGCATCCAGAACACAGGAATTGCATCTGGAACACCGGGCAGCTCATCCGGAGCGCTGGGAATTGTGCTTGGAGTGCCGGGAATTGCGGCTGGAGTGCCAGGAATCATGYGCGGAGTGCAGGAATTGCACCAGGAACGCTTGGAAGCGTGTCCAGAATGCCAGGAATCGCATCCAGAGTGCTGGGAATTGAATCCCAGAACACGCGAGTCATGTTGGGAGCACCAGGAATCCCACCCGGAGCACCGAGAGCCGCAGCTGGAATGCCAGGAATTGCATCTGGAGTGCCACGAATGGCACCAAGAGCACGGGGGATCGTGTCTGCAGCGGCGGGAATGGCACCAGGAGGGTGGGAATCGCGCTCGGAGCAGCGGGAAGGGGCCCGGAACGCCGGGAATCGCCCACCTTTCCGCGCTGCTTCTTGGCAGGCCGGGAGCCGCCCGCGGCCTCCGCGTCCTCGTCCTCGTCGCTGTCCTCGTCCTCGGCGCCGGGAGCCGGGAATGYGGCGCCCGCACGCTCCGGGAGCTCCCGCCCCGCATTCCTGCAGGAACATCCCGCCGTTCCCGCGCGGAATGCGCTGCTCTGGGCCGGAGCGCCGTGCCGATCCGCAGGGCGCCGTTCCCGCGCGGAATTCCCGTGCGGAATGCGCTCACCTCTGGATCTGCTCCTCGATGCGCTGCACAAGCAGGGAGGCTCCGGAGGCTCCGGCAGGAGGAGATCCCGGCTCCTCGGCGCCGCTGGCCAGCAGGGAGCGCAGGCGCCGGGAACGCCGGTCAGAGCCGGCGCTGGAGCCACCGGCATCCCGCAGGTACCTGCAGAGCGGAAGACGAGCCCTGTGTTCCGGGATCCCGGCGTCCCGGCATTCCCAGCATCCCTGAATCCTGGCATTCCCAGAGCCTAGTGCTCCCGAGTCCCAGCATTCCTGGATCCCGGCATTCCTGGTGTTCCCAGACCTCAGCATTCCCAGCCCCCGGCATTCCCAGCTCCCAGCATTCCCGGCATTCCCAACTCCCGGTACTCACTGCCGCAGGAGGTGCCGACCCTCCGGCCAGGCTGCAGCTCCCGCCTTTGCTGGCCCGTCCGGAGCTGCGGGAGGGAAAATCAGGATTGGGGGGCGGCTCCCGGAGCTCTYGGAGCTCCCGCTTCCGCACCCACTTCCGCACCAGCTCCCGCTGCCGCTTCCGCCCGCTCCGGCGTGGCAAGGTCTGCGTCGGGTCGCAGCTTGTGGCACTTGGCCCTATGGGGACAGGGACACGTTGGGGGCGCCGGGAACGCCCCATTCCCAATCCCATTCCCGATGCCATTCCCACCGACCTCTCCAGGGCTAGCGCCGCCTCCAGCATCCGCAGGCGCCGGAGCAGCTCGGAGCGGGAGCGCTGCCCGCCCCGGCACTCGCCCTGCAGAGCCACCACCTGCGCCTGCGGGGACACRGGGGGACATTGGGGACACTGGGGGACACTGGGGAGCACTGGGGACATTGGGGGGACATTGGAGAACACTGGGGACACGGGGGGCACTGGGGACCCCGCGGATGGCACCGGAACGGGACAAGGAGCCGGTGTCGGGGTGACACTGACAACACCCGGAACCAACACCCGGAACGAGGGTCCCAGTATTGGGGGGGGGTCCCATTAACTGGGGAGGGTCCCTATGAACAGGGTCCCAGTTTCGGGGGGGCTCATTATGAGGGTTCCAGTCGGAGGTGGGGGTCCCACTATGGGGGGGTCCCACTAACAGGGGGTTCCCATTATGGGGGTGTCCCATTGTGGGA